TCCTTCCTTCCCTCCCTCCTTTCTTTCCTTCCTTCCACCCTGTTCCACTCCTTCCCCTTATAAAAATGCCCTTCCACCCTCCAGTCTCTCCTCCACATTAAGGTATTGAGGCCTCCTCAATATTTAACATTTTAAAAGAGGTAAGATTGAAGCAGATGCCTTAGCCCAAAGGGGTGAATATTTAGCAGACTGAATTTTAGGCATTGACAGATCTCCTGGAGGAGGTATTTTTTGTGGGCCAGGATCATTTAGGTAGGCAGTTCTCCAAGTGTGGTCAAGGGATCCCTGAGGGTTCCTGAGACCATTTCATGTTATCCATTAGGTCAAAATTCTTTTCATAATCATACTAAGATGTTTGAATTTCTAATATGGTAAATATCAGTAGATATAACCCAGATAAACAAAAACTCTTTGAGGAGGTCCTTAATTTTTAAGAGTATGAAAGGGTCCTGAGACCAAAAAGTTTGAGAACTGCTGCTACCTACCTTTAGGTGTGTCTTTTGGGAAACGGGAGAAAGTAGGAATGAAGAGGAGGGAAAAGGGAAGGGAATTCAAAGACCACTGAGAAAGATTCTGGGTTGGCGGAGGCAATCCTGGTAGATGGACCTGGATCTAGGGCTCCCACTTACCCTGCACGTGCTCCAAGTGCAAGAAGATGGAGTCCTCACTCATGGAGTAGCGAAGAAGCTTGGCCATGTAGGGGACGCCATTGGGGATGATGGTTGGACGGTTCCAAGTCTCTACGTGGCATTTGGGAAGGCTCTGGGGAGAAGGGAAGCCAACTCAAAACAAGGAGAGACAGGGCTCAAGGAGTATTACCTCATCAGAAAGGTTGGGGCTCTCTGCTTCATGGGGGCACCCCAGCCTCAGCAACCTCCACCCAGAAGTGTGTTGCAATGGTAGAGTTGGTTGGCAAAGGAGCTGGGACCAAGAAAACATGAATATGCAAGTATGTAATTGAATAAGATTAGAATCAAAGGCAGTGCAGCTGGGGCATATTCTCATTAGTTGGCCTCCCCTGTAAGAGCCTGCAGACAGACTTTCTTGCTTCTGGAATCTGATTTTGATCTATCTACCCATCGGTCCAAGTTCCTATAGCAAGCAGGAACAATTTTAGAAGTGGAAGATCAAGCTCTAGCCCTTGGGAAACTGACCGCTCATGGTGGATTCCATGATGCCCTGTTTGCAAATTAAGGTGCTGCAGACAGTTTGGTTCCAGAAAGGTGTGTCCTGTTTGTGTGGTTCCCGGTAAATGCAGGCCCTGGAGTAGAACCTCCATTGGTCAGTGCTTGGTCTTTCTTTGTATCCACAGAGCTTAGCATGGTACCTAGTATATAGTGAGTGTTTAATAAAGGCTTATTAACTGACTAACTTTTTGTCTGTGGGGTAGCCTTGAAGGGAGGAAGGGGAGGGGGTCCTAGGAATGAATAGGAAGGCCAATCAGCTCAGGGAGAATTAAGCTCAGGCTTAGTGAGTTCCAAGATGGTCTGATGCTCCATGTGAGGGAGTCAAATGCTGAAGAACAGGAAGGGGGTGGGGATTCCAAGAGGGAGAGGTAGGCTACTGAGCTACACTTACCTTCACTACAAAGGTCCCCCCAGTGGCAGGGTCCTGGACCAGCTGAACCTGTAAATAATGGGAAAAAAGGTCAGGTGGGCTAACACTAGGTTCTCAGGTAACCAGGACCTGGCCTTCCCGTTCTGAAATGCCAAACCCTCCTAGGTTCTCTCCACTAGAATCAAAGAATGTCAGAGCAGAAGGACACCTGTAGAGAGCATCTAGTCATTGGGACCCATCATTTTTCAGATGAGAGAACTGAGACCCAGAACTAGTAAAAATGACCTGCTCAAAGTCACATATCAAATTAGTGTCAGAAATGGAGCTAGCAATATTTCAAGTGCGTAGAATGGTTTATGATTTACGAAGCTCTTTCCTCACAAATATCCTCTGGGGCAGGTAATACAAGTATCATTACCTGCATTTTACAAGTGAGGAAATACTAAAGCTAAGCAATTTGACCATGGGCACGTAATCCTTAGTCAGCCAAGACTCAAACTCAGCTTTATCTGACTCCAAGTTCGGTATCATTCTTTCAATAATACACTCCCTAAGTGGGATGGAAGGGACTTTTGGCAACCAGCTAGCACAGTAGATAGAACTCTGGGCCAGGAGTCAGGAAGACCTGAGTTCAAATCCAGCCTCAGACACAAGCTGGGTGACCTTGGACAAATTACTTGACCTCTGTCTCAGTTTCCTCAGCTATGAAATGGTGATAATAGCACTGACCTTCCAGAGCTGTTGTGAGACTCACATGAGATAATATTTGTAAAGTGTTTAACACAGTTCCTGGCATGTAATAGATGCTTAATAAATGTTTCCTTCTTTTCACCATCTTTTTTTTTAAGGAGGGAGTATTGTATGTCTGTTTCTATGATTTTATCAGGGTAGGGAACTTTGCATATGGAAACTCCCTCCACTGATGCAGATTGGCCCACTGAGAAGTTCAGGCTCTTATAACCCTGTGCTTCTGCTTGTCTTGTTTGTCTCTGAATGGAATTCTCCTGGGCTGAAGGAGCTGATTCACAAAGAAAGAAACTGGAAGTGACAATTTTGGATGATCTTGAGATGAAAAAAATTGGTTACCCATCTCCCTCATTTGAAGTCTCAGCGAGACTTGCTTCCAAAAAGAGCAAGAAGACATGGGAGCAGAAGTCACCTGAGAGCAAAGTTTCTCAAACTGGGACAAGATCCTCACAGGAGGATTTCAATGCCTAAAATGATTGAATTTTTGGAGGTACAGTTCCTGCATTAATACACTTTTTAAAAAAAATGACAACAGGGCGGGGCAGCGAGGTGGCACAGTGAATAGAGCACTGGCCCTGAAGTCAGGAAGACCTGAGTTCAAATCTGGCCTCAGACCAAACACTTGACACTTACTAGCTGTGTGACCCTGGGCAAGTCACTTAACCCCAATTGCCTAAAAAAAAAAATGACAACATAGTTCAATAATGTGGCAAATTTGCTCCAGTGAGGTGTGTGTGGCAGGAGAGGAGAGCACAACAATGGGCCACGATCTGTGGGCTTTGGGGGACAGGCTTCCAACTGTCCCTTTGCTCTGGGTTCACAGACTTTGTTACTCATCTCTTCCATTCTTGGCGGAAGAGGAAAAGGGTCTTAGGCATTCATGGATTGGGAAGGTTTTCCATCCATGTAGAGAAACTGGGAGGGGGAGAGTGGAACAAAGTGAGTTTATATATTTCTTTTCTTTTGCATTTATTTCCACATTATTAAAAATCCATGTGAACACATCTGAGTCTATGAAAGTATTAGGGATGTGACTTTTGAGAATGAAATATTTCACAGGGTTGGGGCTCAGAGTTAGAGATAGACAGCTGATTTCATATTAATTTGGAACAATATTTTATTTTATCCCAGAGATGAGATTGGGCCTGGGCCAGCAGAGAAAGGGGTTAATTTAGCAACTTAGGCTGCAGGCTGAGTGTCCTTGGGTGGTCACTCAGGATACAGTAGCCCAGAGCATCTCATAAGACCTGGACTGATGGCTTGAGTAGAGTGTCATCTGGTGGGCAATCTGTGTACTACACCCAGCTAATTAAACTTTCTTGTTGGATACTAACACAGTGAATTGCTATCTTTCTGTAAGCTTTAGGAAGACAGCATGAATCTCACAAACCAAAGAGCCAGTGTCATCTGTTTGTCAGAAGCAGGATCCGAACCCAGATCTTCCTGACAAAAAGGCCAGCTTTCTATTTTATGTGAACAAATGCCTGGCATTTAGGGCCCGCTACCATCTGTCTTCTACTCCATTTTCCAGTCTGTTATCTATTATTCCCCACCATATATAGTGTGTCCCAATTCAGCTGGCCTGTGACCTGTGGATCAAGAACTCGTCTATACTAGCATGTAACCAGTATTGGTCACCCTCCCCCCGCCAAAAAAAAAAAAAGCAAGCTAGGCAGAAACCCCTCCTTCCAGGTGATCAGGCCAGCCTTCCAGAGGTGAAAGGTCACTTCTGCTCCCTACCTGACAGAAAACACCCACAAAGAGCAAATTATCCAGGGCCTAGATCATTGGATATGTGATTTTTTTTTTTGTGGGTCAACCCAGCTTGCAATCTCCTTAATTGGCCAGCACAGCAGACCGTAGAATCCTAGGTCTAGAATCAAAAAAGAATTTCAGAAGCCATCTATCAAGTCCAACCACTTTATTTTCCAGATAAGGAAACTAAAACCTGGAGAGGCTGTGACTTACCCAAGGTCACACAGCTAGTACATGGCAGAGCTGGGATCTGAACCCAGGCCCTGTGACTCTAAGGGTCAGCTAGGTAGTATAGTGGATAGAGTACCAGACCTGGAGTCACAGATACTTACTAGCTGCATGACCCTGGGCAAGTCACTTAACCTTGTTTGCCTCAGTTTCTTCATCTGGAAAATGAGCTGGAGAAGGAAATGGCAAACCACTCCGGTATCTTGGCCAAGAAAACCCCAAATGGGGTCACGAAGAGTCAGACACGAATGAATAACAAGTTGTGACCCCAAATCTAGTATTTTACCCCCACTGTGCCACACTTTTTCGTAATGTGGGAACCATTGTTGTAGTGGGGAGATACCGGGGTCTGAAGCAGGTCCTTGGTGATTGTAACATCAAGAGCTTTGATTTAGAGCTAGAAGAAACCTTAAAAGTCATCTGGACCAATCCCCTCATTTTACAAATAAGGGAACTGAGGCTCAGAGTAGTGGATAGAGCAATGGGCCTGAAATCAGGACGTTCAAATCCAACCTCAGACACTTACCAGCCGGGTAACCTTGGGCAAGTCATTTACCTCTGTCTGCCTCAGTTTCTTTAACTGTAAAATGGGATAATAGCAGCTACCTCCCAGGGTTGTTGTGAGGATCATGAGATAATAACTGCAAAGCACTTAGCACAGCGTCCGACACGTAATAGGTGGTTATTAAATGCTTGTTTATTTCCTTTTTTCCAAGTTGGGGCTCAAACCTGAATCCTCTTTATTTTCATAGCTGATCTTCAATCTACTGCAACCACGCTGTCTATTCCTTTCTCCCAAATGAATTAACATCTTGCGCCATCCCACCCCCAACTCTAACAGCATACTTATTGTTGTTGTTCAGTAATTTCAGTTGTCTCCAACTCATGACCCCATTTGAGGTTTTCTTGGCAGAGATACTGGACTGGTTTGCCATTTCCTTCTCCAGCTCATTTTCCAGATGAGGAAACTGAGGCAGACAGGGTTAAGTGATTTGCCCAGGGTCACAGAGCTAGTAAGTGTCTGAGGCTGGATTCGAACTCAGGAAGGTGAATCTTCCTGACTCCAGGCCTGGCACTCAATCCACTTTGCTACCTAGTTGCCCCAATTGTATGTAAATTGCATACAATTTAGTACTTGACCATATTGATCCAAATATAAGCCACACATACACCCCCCAAATGAAATCTCCTTGAAAAGAAAAAAAATGGCAGTAGACTGGAAAATAACATTGATTTTAGGCTGCATACAGGTTTTATACGAGCCAGATCTGGAGAAAAAGTGTGGCCCATATATTGATTTCATAGTAAATGTGTTACCTTGCCCTGTTTGCTAATTATTTTCTGTGTCTTACATTTGCATCCCTTACTAGACCCTCTGCTTGATGAGGGCAGGGAATGTCTTATGCTGCTTCTATATCCTCCACAACGTCAGACAACTCACTCATTTATTAATTGATAAAAGTTGATATTGATTGATAAAAAACTCTTTGGGAGTTTTTTATCTTTTCATCTTATGCACTTACGCATCTTATGCTTAACCAGATTCTCAAAGGCCTCTCTAGTCCATCCCTGGCATGGCCAATTTTTTCTCTCAGGAAAGAAATGGATTTGAGTTCACACTGAGAGTTGTTCAGTGTGATAGCATTGTTTCCCATGGTTCATGGAGAAGTCAAGAGGAGCCTTGGAATCATAGAATTTCATGAAGTCCAGCATGGGCTCTGTTGGGCTCTGTTACCAACTTGAGTGGTCTCACCTTTCCCTAGACAGCCTTGAGGCACTCTGTTCCCAAGGGTTCACCATGATTCTGGCCTAAGTGTGGACACTCAATCTATCAAAGTTCTAAACTCTACAGCTCAAACTGCCCACTAAGCCTCAGCCTTCCTGAGTAGGAAAGAAGAAAGGAAATAAGCATTTATTGAGCACCTACTATGTAGAACATAGTAGGTGCTTAAAAAATGTTAATTGAATTGAATCTCCAGGTACTGTGCTAAACCCTTTACAAAAGTTGTCTCATTTGATTCTTACAACAACCCTGAGAAGCTGGTGCTATTGTTAATCCCATTTTACAGATGAGAATTCTGAGGCAGTCATTGGTTAAGTGACTTTTCCCAGGATCACACAACTAATCAGTGCTTGAGTTTGGATTTGAGATCAGATCTTCCTGACTTTAGGCCCAGCCCTCTGTGTACTATGGCACCACCTAGCTGCTTAAGAAGGTAGGAAGGATAACACATGTGTGCCACCACACCCAATGGTCTTTTTTTTTTTAATAGAAAAAAATATTACTTTATTCAATAAGCAAAAAAAAGTTAAAATCCTTTTTTTGTAGTGCAGTGGGG